AAATTGCTTTGAATGGGTAAATCGATCATTTGTCCTGGGGGATCCGACATTAATCTGCGCGTACATTCCCAAAATGATCGTGTTTTTCCAAAATCAAACTTTATTGTTCATCATCTTGGACTAGCCATCCCTTAGAAGGTATTGTTAAAAGATCATCAATTCCTAAGGAAATAGATGTAGCAGTGGCTTGCTGGAAACCATAGTTTTTGCTTGATCCAGTATGTGGGATATGTGCCATTCTGAAGTGATCTATTAATAAACTAATAAGTTGTTTAATGGCAGTTACATCTATCACTTTATTATGAAATACCAGATTGGCCTATTCTGCCAAAAGTATACCCTTATTCCGCTGAGTGGACTTCGTCAATGGGTTTGAGTCAATGATTGGAAAACTATTTTCTCGATCTTGATTTTCGTAGAAAGTCGGGTCAGGAACTAGGGTCCTAATTGAATCGAAGAGACCTGAATTCGTACTGGTAACATAGAATTATTTTAGCTTATATACCATATGATTAGGTATCGTATGAGTAGGCCCGAAAAAACCTTGTATAGCTTCTTGATTTCTCGGTAAAGAGAAATATGACCAACAGTGGTTCGAATGTATATACAAATTTTTTTTAAAACTTCTTACTATTAGATAATGTCTATAAATTACATGATAGGTACCCAAAGATTCATAGTGAACTTCGATGGGATCTTTTTTTGAAGAAATAACACATAGATCTAATCGCTACGGGAGCAAAAAATGACTATCTAAATTGATTTTTTTCTTCCTATAAGCTCCAATTGCATCATAGGAATTAAAAAAGGCTCCCTTGTATACTTATAGTTATTATCATCAATTCTTTCATTTTGATAGTTTTTTCGATTCTATGGATTATACCTATTCGCATAAATACCTCGATGATTCCCGCTCGTTAATACATAGAGCCCAATAAGCATATCTTGAGTCGGTACAGAAATGGGATCCCCAATGCCTGGAGACAAGAGATTCATATGAGAAAACATAAGTAAACGAGCCTCTGCTTGCACCTCTAAAGATAAAGGTACATGAACAACCATTTGATCCTCATTAAAGTCTACATTGAATCCCTTAAAACTAATGGATGTAAACAAATCGCGCGTCCTTCCATTAAAATAGGTTGGAATGACTGTATACCTAATTTATGCAGAGTAGGTGCTCTATTCAGCAATACATGATATCCCCGCATAACTTCTTACATTATTTCCCATAGAATCGACCTTTTTTTCCTGAATTTTACTCTTAGCAACTCCTATGCTTGGAGCAAGATGTTGTCTAATTAGACTATGAATTAAAAATGTCTAGAAAAGTTATATTGCTATTTCGCGAGGCAATCCCAATGATGTAATGAAAGCGAGGGGCCAACAACAATGACAGAACGTTCAGAATAATCGACTCGTTTGCCAAGCAAAGTTTCACGAAATCTTCCCTCTTTGCCTTCAATTACATCTAACAACGACTTGTAAACCTTATTATGATTGTCCCTCATTGGTTGTCCGCAAATTCCATTATCAAGAAGTGTATACATGGCTTCTTGTACCAATTTTTCTTGACACATTAATAATTCCCCTGGAGTAGATCTACTTGTTGTTAATAGATCCGTAAAAGTATTATTTCTATAGATAACTCTTCTATAGAGTTCATTAATATCCGAACTCATTAGTTTACCCCCATCTATCTGAATGATCGGTCTCAACTCGGGAGGAAGAATCGGTAATAGACATAAAACCATCTATTCTGGTTATATATTTGTTCGAATAAAATGCTTAGCCAATTCCATGCGTCTAACCAAAAAAATCATTTCTTCTTCTTCTGATTTTTCAATCTTCTCATTCATTAACCGTGAGGCTTTCTTCTCGTAATTATTTCCATTCTACTATCGAATAATCGATAAGAATTCACAAAGCTAGGTCGACTAATTGTTCTCGAATAACACCTGCTCTAGTAGAAATTTCACAATTTCGAAATGTATCGAAACCCTGGGTAGCAAAAAAAATTGGGATACTGCATTTCCAAGATTGAATTTCATAGTCGAATGAACCTCATAATTGTAAGAAAGTAGGCTTTTTAGCGATGGGCCTAGCAAAAGAAAAACTAGGATAGGCCCTATGAAATCCCCCCTCAAAATCAGATTGAGAGTTTCCTCTCATCCGACTCAAGTAGTTACACCAAATAAACAAATAAAGATAAAGTCGCTTTCAAATTCTAGAATTTCCCCTCCCTCCCAAAAAGAAAAAGGTATACTCTTTACTAGTTCCCAAGAAACATTTTATTGATTCATTCTTCTTTTATTGATTTCAATTTTCTTAATTTTTTATTCAATTCAAAATTAGGACATAAATGAAATTTGAAATTCTTGAGTAGTCTACTTCCCCTCTAATGATGATCCTCTACAATTAAAGAGTATCATAAAGGATTTACTTGTCTATGTACCATTCCATTCGATCTCTTAGGTCCTGCGTTACCTCGACGGTTATACCATGATGTCCTTAACTTAAAGCCTAAGCTTATATGTGATTATAGACTCCTACAACCATGACATATTTTTTACTTGAACACAATTTCATTTATTTCTAAAAGAACTAAAAGAAGTGAGAATGCTTAATTTAGCAAAAGAAAGAAGTTTTTTTCACGAGGTACAACTCAAATTCCTAGTTATTTTTTTTTACTGACTCAATCATAGACCAATTCCGTTTTTATTGGGAGTATTAAAAATGCCTATAATTTTGAGCTCCATGTTACTCTTCCCAAGAGACATGTCATGTCAGATCCAGGGCATCCCAATTCGATTGAATGGGATGACAGTTTCTAATTCTTTAAGAGGTTTATCTAAAAGATTGGCGATATAACTAGGAAGATGCTTCAAATACCATACATGAGTTACTAGACATGCCAACTTTATGTATCCCATTTGATATCTTCGTATTCGAGAATCAACAAATTCAACTCTGCATTGTTCACAAAATTTAGGGCCCTCCTTTTCATTTCCAATTACTCGATAATTTCACAAGCGCAAATTCCACCTTTTATAGGTCCAAAAATTCTTTCACAAAATAATCCATCCTTTTCCGGTTTATTGGTTTTGTAATGAAAAGTATAGGGTTTTGTCACCTCTCCAACGGTTTCTCAATTAGGTAGGACTTTCTTGGCCCAAGCACTTATTTGTTAGGGAGAAACTGATCCAATTAGGAGTTGTTGATGCTTATATCGGTCGATCATAGAAGAAAATTCTGATTCATTTCGATTAAGCTTCCTTCCTATTAATCTGGAAGTTCTTCTCAGATACAAGGAAATGATTCAGTTCCAGAGCCAAAGATCGTAATTCTCAAACGAGCAACCAAAAAGATTCTAGAGCATCTTCAGGTTTAGGCATTGTTCCTCAAATGATCGTAGTACCAAGTACTTCTTCGCGAGCTCTAATATGATCAGATTTATAAGTAAGCATTTCTTGTAAAATATGAGCAACACCAAATCTCTCTAGAGCCCAAACCTCCATTTCTCCTACTTGATGTCCCCCTTGCTTGGACATTCCTCTAAGTGGTTTTTGTGTAACAAGTGCATAATGTCCACTGGAACGCCCTATGTATTTTATCATCAACTTGATGAATTAGTTTCAAGATATAAGGTTTTCCTATTATAACATGTTGTTCAAAAGGGTCCCCGTTCTTCCATCAAATATTCTGCTTTTTTTGGATATTCAGCTCAAATACCCATGTATTTGCTGTTTGCTTATCGGCTTCATATAATTTGGAAAACACTAGTTTTCTCGAAGCCTCTTGTTCATATCTCTCATCAAATGGTGCTATTTGATAATGTCTATCTAGTAGACTCCCTACTAACCCAAGCAAGCATTCAAATATATGTCCTACATTCATTCGTGAAGGTACTCCTAATGGGTTGAAGACCATATCAACAGTCTTCCGTCTTGCAAATAAGGCATATCTTGTCTAAATAAAATTTTGGAAATGATCCCTTTATTTCCATGTCTTCCAGCTACTTTATTGCCTACTTTGATTTCGTGTTTCTGTGAAATATATACATGAATCGCTATCAGATTATAACTAGAACTCTCCTTTTTCTAGATCAATCTCACATCGATAAATCGACCCCTACCACCTATAGGTAATTTTAGACAAGTTTCCTTTGAAGTGGGTACCTAAATCTCAAGTATGGCCCGTAATAATCTATATTCTGGAGCATATGATGATTCTTTCGCCACCTGAGACGTTAATTTACCTACTAAAATTTTGCCCGTCTCTACCCAAGATCCCAGCATCACAATTCCATTTAAGTTGACGAGCTTGAAAAACTTTAGGGAGCGAATTTCAAAAATTATAAGGGACGAAAGCATATTATCAATAAAGAATACAAATCACATATCTAAATTATATAAGAATTTAAAATTTTCAAGGAATGTTTGCCGCCTCTTATACATTCCTACACTAGACTTTTTCATCATTTTTAATGATTCAATAATCCATAAATGGATATTATATTTTCGATAAATATAAACTCAACATATTCTTCAAACCATAAATTATATAATATCTTGGAATGTTAGGAAAAATATAGCATGTTAATGTGTGTATTAAAAGTACATTTTTGGTATTTATTAAACATTACCAATAAGGTGTAACTTCTAGCTATGTCTTTGTACGATGAATATCAAGTTTCTGGGCCCAAAATGATAGCACATACCTTTCAAAGCTCAAAATTACCCGTAACCCCAAATCACCATGAATCAAAACCAACCAAAAACTCCAAATCAGTCCATAACACACTCTTCAGTGCTGTACTGTTTTGCGGTATCTTGCTGATGAAGGAAACACTTCCACAATTTCCTCCTTGTCTACACGTCTTCAAGTACTCTTTCCTTGATTGAAAAAAAATCCCCATAGCTTGGGTTGCAAGATATCTATATATGCAGAACATCAACAACAACATGAGGCAACAAGGTAAGTGAAAAAGAAGCTGAGAAATGGGTTCTTTCTGGAAGAAATTTCTCTTCTTTTTCCTTCTCACCATCCAATCATTCATCTCGGAAACAATCTCATTGGAAGACAACAATCCAACGGCCTATGAAATCCTCAGGGATTTCAACTTCCCAACAGGTCTTCTACCAGCTGGTGTCACTGCCTACGATTTCGACCCTCTGTCGGGCAAATTCTCTGCTTACTTGAATGGTACATGTACCTTCACTCTTCAAGGGGCTTACAAATTGAGATATAAGAATACCATCAATGGGTATATTTCGAAGGGAAGGCTTGCGAGGCTTGAAGGTGTCAGTGTGAAGTTTATTTTCTTCTGGGTTAATGTAGTTGAAGTGTTGAGGAAAGGGGATGAGCTTGAAATTCTCAATGGGGGTTGCTGCTGCAGGTTTCCCTATGGATGACTTTGATGACAGCCCTCAATGTGAGTGCAGGTTCCTAAAATGCAGTCATCAGAAAGTAAGGAAGATTGGCGAAATGACTTCTTCTAAGTAGAAATTGTTTGAATGAGACGATTGTTATATGCAAGTGTCATCAATTTTAGCAGTGTTTTTCTGGTTCTACTTTGAATGGAGATCATCGGAATCAACGGTGGTTTATTTTGTTTGCTTGTGATTGCTTGAAACTATGTGATTGATAGCTATTTTTTTTTTATACTTGTTTGTTTGTCGCAAAGCAGTTAGCATTGCAGTTTTTTTATTTGATTTGTTTACTTATAATTTCTATATTTTGTGCATGACTAATTTCTATATGGCAATTATAATTGCTATCCTTTGAAATTTAAAAGGGAAATACGTGGTAAACATGATGTTACACAAATTAGTTTAAGGTAATGGTCTATCATATGCAAAGTTATTACACTACAGGAGAAATAACGAGAATAGAAACGATCACGTAATAAAACAAGACACCAAGAGTTTGTTCAGAATTATTAGTTCAATAATCCAAATTGGATATTGCATAGGCTCATCATGAAGGTGACTTTCAACTCAATTTTCTTCATTCACAATGTCAAAATTCGAACTCCTAACCTTACTTGAGGATCAAGTCATCTCCATAATGGGTTGAAATACTTGATCCTTAAGCAATGTCAAAGATTCGTATCCAACATTGTAATAGAAAAAACTGGATTAAAAAGATCGTTTACGTGATGGGCCCATTACTTACTACATCCTTTTGCAACGCACGGTCCTGGATTACCCTTGGCAATATGACCAATAGGGACAGTTTTCTAATCAGCATAAGCGTGCAATCACCCAAGTATGGATGGATCTGTCTTTATTTTTGCTGAATACACTTAGTAATCAGCTTATTTCTGGTATTAAGGACTAGGGTTTTAACAAAACCCAATTCGATACTCCATAATGTTTGCATGCATTCATATTTCTTTCGTATCAACTTTGTAACTTTGCACATAGAGATCTTAAAGACGAGACGGATGCAATACATTTGTTGAACATTTGTGAATTCCATCGTGTCATATTCCTCAGCTATCGAAAGTTTACGCGTGGCAAGGAACAGTAACTAATTATCCATGAAAACTTACTATAATATAGATATTGAGAAAGCTCTTTCAACATCACTGACGTTAACATTCAAGAATCCTTAAAAGGCAGCTCTTTCTAAATCCATCCATATCAACGGCAATTTGTCTACAAAGTGATAGACAAAATCTAAGTTAACCACAAAGGAGGATTCCGAACTCAAAAACAGAAAGCTGACCTTTTATTTTTGCTATAATTTCACAAACGGACTACAAAATTAGGCTTATATTAATGTGTAAATTACGACGTATTTATCTGGTACAACTGGAGGAGGGTTCACAAAAATCATGATCGGTTTAGAACTCAGGAAGAGAGGTTGTGAACTTCAAGGATACCGACCTGCAGAAATTACAGAAATGAAAGAAGAAACATGCAAACAATGAGAGCTCAATGGTGGGAAACAAAAACCATTAAAGAATTTAAGTACAGAATTCTTACAGATTCTAATATAACATTCGAAGAACGGCAGCGAAGTTTCATCTTCGGTTTCCTTTCCTATTTCCTTGACTGGAAGAAGGGGCTGTCTGGTTCATCTTGCTTTCAAGTCTCCTTGCGGTTCGTTGAATAGCAGCAAGCTTTTGGCGATGATTATGGCTCTTTCTTTTGCTGCACAGTCAGTAGTATTACAAAAGTAGTAAACAAATATAAGAAATTAATGAAGAAAAGAAAGAGGAAAACTAGACCTATAAACAATTTAAATACATTGGCTTGGAGAGGTGAAGCCCATTTAGCATTGAATAATTTTATGGACATGGTCATCATTCCAGGTTAAGAAACTAAATTGCCTATCTGGAGGAAAACTTTATCATTCACAAGAGGAAGTGATTGAACCTTATAAAAAGTAGGCCTCCCGTAAGAACCAGGCCTCCTACCGCCCAAGAAACTCTTTCATTAGATGGCATATCCTGCAGCCACTGCTGGAAATCTTCTAAAAGCCCGGAGTCCCCAGTTTTGTGGGGCTTCTCAGTTCGTGATGCTCCCCATGAATCAGCAATTGAATCAAGACTAGCTCTACCACCATAACAAGATGCTTCTTCATCACCACCATGAATGCCAACAGATTGTTTAACACCATAACCTGCAGCAAGACATAGTTCTGTTCCATTGGATGCCCATTCTGATGCTTTACCACAAACAAAGTCATTTACTCCACATGGCGCTAGAACCTGCCAAAAAGTTTCTATGTTTGAATTAAATCTAAGGGAACATCCAAATATAAGAGATACCAAATCAGCATGACAAAATTTAAAACTAAATATAGCTCCAAGGCCATGAAGGTAACCCTCCTGGCAAACAGATTAAAACAGCTTAAAATGAAATCTCGATAAAAAAATAAAGGTCATCCACCACAACCTAAGCACAACTACCTCTACAAAGTTTCTGTGTTTGAATTAAATCTAGGGGAACGTCTAATTGAGAATACACTAAACCCCATAAATGCATGATGTTCACGACATAACTAACAATCTAGAAGATATTAGACACACTTGTCAACCTGTGTCTTTGCATCCATTGAGAAGTAAGCATTAGAGCAGGCCTGAAATACTCTATCGCATAAGGATGTGCATATCTGTGGGGGTCCAGGCTGAATGCCAACTCGTGGATCACAGATGGAACATTCCAGCAGTTCCCACAGATGCAAACACTCTTGGCTGGCTTCCCCTGTTAAAGCCAGCCTCCTAACAGAAAGCAAAGAGGGATGTGTCTGGGCAGCATCACAGCAAGTCTTTTTACGAAACACTCTACAAAGTGTCAAATCTTTGTGTCCCTTCCCCACCCTTTTAGGAGGTTTCCCCTCAGAGGAGAAAGGCGGAAAACGACCACCTTGAGATACACAAACACCACCAGTTTCTCCTGCATCAATACAAAATAAATGAAATTAAAATGCTGCAACTCCTTAGAACTATAGCGTGTAGTATTTAAGCACGATCCTTTCCTATTTAGGAAATCATTCATCAGAAAAATATGAAAGGCTTTTCAAAGTAAAACACAACATGAAGTTAAAACTTAGAAGCAATGTATACAATCTACATGAATGTTAATCTAAAACATACACACGGATAAATCAGCTAACTTTGAAGCTTAACCTCACATAGAAAACAACAAACTAAAACAAAAGGAAGAAAATCCCATTCTCTAGAGCCAATAAACAAACAAATAAATGAATTAAAACCCTTTTACATAGCAGTTCAATCGACTATTCCTTTTATATAAAATAAAATCAACCCAAAGCATAAACTTGCCTAATCCCTAACCCTAAGCAGTGAATGAATAACTTGAAACAAAATCCATACAAGTGTCGGTAAAAGGGAGAAAACTAATGAAAACAATAGATGCTAAAACCCTGATAAAACAAGGAAAAAGCAGAACTTTTTACCATACGAAAAGAGGAAACGAAGGTTGAAAAGGAGGAGAAATAAAAGAAACCCAAGTTCAACGTTCTTCATCGCTTTTACTTCAACTCTGATTTTTGAGCTATGAATCATTGAGAAGGCCCAGGAAACGTGACGGTGATCCTACATTACAGGTGCTGAAAGAGTTGAGAGAACAACAAATTGGAACAGTAGACGAGAACAGCAAACTAAAAACAATGTTAGTCAGACGCCAGATGTGATGTGAAATAATCGGGGATAGTCTTCCAGGGTTTTCGGGTATTCGTTTGCCCAGGTTTTTATTTTTGGCCCGTTCAATTATTTGGGCTTTTCCCACTATGCTACACAAAATAAATCGGCTTAAAACCCATAAGGAGCCGTACCAAGCTAATGTTGGGTTTGAAGATTAAAGACGTAATGATAAATTAATACCCTAACGTTTAATTGAATAGTCAATTTAATCCTTATATATTTTTTTAAATATTTTGGCTTTTTTAAATATTTTGGCTACTATCATTTTATTTTGGACAAAAAGTTATAGACTAATAATAGGGGTACAGTGAACCACTGGAGGTCAAAATGCTCAAGTAGGGGTTAAAGTGAGATTTTTAAATAGGCTGTCCCCAAGGCCGTTAAACTACTCCACGATAATATTCAGCAACTTCCAATCGGAGCTCGTCCGGAACTTCGTCATAAAGCGCAAAGGCCACCGACGACGACCAAGCCATTTTAGCAAAACCGTCTGCAACTATGCTCCCTTCCTTTGGCACAAAAAGAAATCGCAGCTGCCAATCCCTGCTAGAGTTAATGAATATGCGACAACATTGGGGAAAACCTCCCTACCTCAAGCTTACTCGAGCATATTAACCACCTTCTTACTATCGCTTTCTATAACTATCCTCCTATAATTTCTGTCCCAAGCCACACACAATCCTATGAAAAGTTCCCAAAGTTCTGCATCAACCACCTAGCAATAGCCTATACACCTTGAAAAGCCGATAAGCCACTCCCCCAGGTGATTGCGAAGGACTCCTCCACAAGCCGATAAGCCTGTACAGTGTTTCACGAACCATCTGTATTAAGCTTCATCCAACCAGGAGTCGGGGCCTGCCACCTAGAGCTTCAATTTTCCTTCTGCAGTCGAGCAGCTCGCCATTGTTTCCTTCTTGCCAACCCCACACACACTTCATTAGAGAGCGGAGCACATCGCTAAAGAATACTTTCGTTTTCTACAAACTCCTTATCAAAAATGATCTTATTTCTTCTGGTCCAAATACACCACATCATTGAACCAAAACTAAGGTCCCAGTCGTCCTTCGCTATAGGATAATACTGGGTTGCCGCAAATTCTTATCAATCTAACTAACAATATCTCCATCCATAAACTCCTCGAATAAATGAGGCTTAACAACCTCCTTCCAAGCCGCCCTTGAAGCCATGCACTCACAGAAAATATGATTTGCACTCTCCACCACTGCACCACATAACTCACAGCTCGTCGGAGGACAAATCTGTGCACCCGCTCTTCATTCGATAAAAGACACCCTTTACAAATGATCCAAAGGAGCATTTTAACCCGAGGCCAGCCTCTATACCCCCTAATGATATCCCACGGTGTCGTAGAAATTGCAGGAAAGACCGACGATCTTACATCATATGCGCTGGAGACAGAAAATAAACTATGTTGATCCGGTCGCCACCTTATCCGATCTGGACCACATGTGGGCAAAGGGGGTCGAGTAGCAGCCAAGGCTAAGCAAGCCACATTTGACAAGCATTCCTTGAACATTCTCCACAACCAATTTCCACTCGCATCCACGAAGCAACCAATCGTAAAAAAGATAATCTCACTTCTCGACCTTATTTATCTATCTTTTTATTCTCCTCTCATTCTTTCTTTCCTCCTCTATTTTGAATCTTGGTTCCATTAAAGCAAGTTGTTAAGGTAAAAACCATTTCTCACATATCTTAAACTCCATAATGAGAGGTGAATCTTTATGCTTTAAAATTGATGGATATATAGGGTTTTAAATGGTTTTTGGGTGAAAGAAGATTTTTTTTTTTTGAGTTGTGAGAGACTGAGAGTTATAAGTGTCCATTTTACCTACCTTTCAACCTCTAAAGTTATAATCTCTTTTATTGCTTTTTAATCTAGTGAAAGAAGTAGGAGAACCATCTCAATCTAAAGATAAAAAAATGCTTAAGATCAATAAGCATTCTTTTTGTATTTTTTTAACTTAGGTAAATACATTTTTATTCTTAGCATATTCATATAAACCATAAATGTAGAAATTATAGATAGAAATTCTTTTTTTTGTATGATATACCAATTTGCATGAATTTTCTCATATGTTATGATTTTAATATTGGAAATCGATTTAAATGTAGTTAAATGATGCATGTGAGGTACTAATAGTCATAGGTATTGATTTGGGGATCATATGGTTGATTTAAGCAATGTTATAGTGATTTATCGAACCTTGGGAGGCTAAATCTGCGCTTTGATATCGATATTATATCGATACCCTTTGAATATAGTGCAGAAATATGGGTATTTCAGGTTTTAATTATTGATAGCTTTTCATATGGTATCAATATCGTTCAATTGGTTTTAATACTTTTCATCTGGTATCAATACCACTGGCTAGATATTAGTATTGAACTAATTTTTTGTATCGGCACATTCATAAGGTATTACTATAAAAAGTTGGGTATCGATACCTATGGGAGGATTTTGAGTCTATCTTCGATATCGATACCTATATTTGGTATTAGTAGTTTAAGGGGGTATCAACTCCCATAGGAGAATACCAATACTTATTATGTAACACCCTAAATTCTGAGTTAGTAGTTTCGGGTTTAACTGAGAGGTAAGTGGACCTCGTGAAATTCGTAAGTAAAGTCGTTGGGTCGAGTTGGGCTTAATTAAGTTTGGACTTAGGCCCAATTAGCCATAAAAAGAAGGCTTTTGAATAGTGGAAATATGGGAAAGGATAAAAAAATGTAATTTCCCTATTTTGTAAAGATAAGGGTTTTTATATCCGATTTCATCTTTTTCTCTTCTTTCATCTTCCCCATTTCCTCTTTCTTTATCTTCTCTAAGTAGCCATAGCTCAAAGGTAAGGCCTTGATCCTTTTTCATGCTTCATTTTTGTTCATAATCCCTATTGCAACATCGTTTTAATGAATCAAAGTCTTGGTTTATTACTAGCTAAAGAAAGGTAGGGGTTTCATCCAAATCACCAAGGAAGTGAGTGTAGCTAAGCAAGGAGCTCTATTGCGGGATTCAAATATCAAAGTAGTGTATTTCTAATCATTTCAAGTGTTAAGCTTTCATTAATTTTAAGAATTTGCTAAGACTTGGTTATTTAAGCATTTTAAGGTTTATCTTTGAATTCATGATCAAATCACATTTTAGGTGTAAATAATGTGTTTTAAGATACCTTTAAGACTCTAAATGACCTTATAAAGCTTTAGTACAAGTTTAGGAACCAAACCAAGTCATTTAAAATGATTTTTGGGTGTTTTGAGCCTAAATAAACTATTTTGGGGTTTGAGTATCAATACTAGGATAAACAGTATCGATATTGGTTGAATTGGGGTAAAATATAGGGTTTCAGGCAGGGAGTATCGATACTGAGGGGATGAGTATAGATACTGATCCCTTGGTATTGATATTGAAGGTTATAATATCGATATTGGGTGTTGAAATTGGTCTTCATACTGAAAATTGGTCTCTATACCAAAAAATTAGTCTCCATACCGAATAAATGGGTATCCATATTGAAGGCTTGGTATCAATACCCAAAGTGGTTGAGTGACTTTAAGCTGTCAAATAAACTCAAGAGTGAGGAGTTTCATATCGTTTAAGATTAGACATCTATCTCGGGGTATGAGAGAATGACTAAAATGACCCTGAGGGTTAAAATTACCAAATTACCCTTGTGGGCCTCAAAGTGAATAACTAAGAACGAATGATCATTATAGATGAAAAACCGACAAGCGGTATGATGAATTAATTGGACTACGAAATATATGAATAATGAACTACGAGAATGTCAATGAAGGATCATTATATATGAACTTTGACTTCGTTTACAATCATGAACTACACAATCATCATTTTCTCGTATCTTGTTCACTTTGATTTCGTTTACGATCATGAACTACACAATCATCGTTTTCCTATATATAAACAATTTCAAATACACATCAGTACCCAAACTAATAAAATAAACTCGAGTTCGAATCAAAATTATAAAAATACAATCAATGAACATTTGATACTAAATTCCTTATTAAACCGAAGTCGACCTCAATTAAATCCAATTTCCCTTTCAAGTCCTCCAATTAATCACTTATCACAATAATATTCTTTACTTTTTAACATTTCACAACAATTACCAATAAACTTTTCTTTTTAATTTAAACCCAACATTTTCAAAAAAGTTTCAAAGTGGTCCCTTATTTTTCACTTAAAATTTCATTTCCATCGCCAAAATCAACCAATTTATATTACTTCCAAATGAAGACATTACATTGCACTTTTGCTAATTTCACCATTAACTTTCCGAAATCTTTCAAATTAATTCTCAGCATTATCCAAACCTTCCACATAATTACTTGACTTAACCATTTACTGTTTCAATTTGAAATGTCAAAACCAAAATCAAGTACCACAAAAAAATGGAGCTCATATTCGTTTATTCTCACAGTAGGTTAGCAAAAACAAATAAAATAACTCATCAGGATAATTAAAAGACACTTTAACAAAGAATCATCTTGAAACATGAAAAAGGCCTCGGCATAATTGAAGACCCCATTGAATTTACATATCTTGCACACCGAAGAAAATGAAAGCAAGCTTCAAAGATACCTTTCTATGGAACCCGAGAGGAAACTTTTACACCAAAAGTGAAGTTTTAGCTAAAAAAACAACTAACAAATGAACCCACAAATAAAACCATAGCATGGTTTTTAAAACTCCATATCATAATACTTGTTAAGCAAAGTAGAACTTGCAGCAAATCATATAACAGAAACGAGAAGAAGACAGAAGTAATTTCTTATTGATATCAGCTCACATTGCTTCATCTTACACCTTATTTATAGCATATTTGTAACAACCTTAACAGCCTAACATACCTAAACCATTTCCTAACAACTTCCCTGTGATGGTTATCATCATTCATCACC